ACCTAGACTGAACTGTATTAAAAAAGTACAATCAACTAAGGAGGCACTTATGAGCAGCTAACATAACAAGATATTAAAAGGGAAGTTTCTATTGAGAACCAAAGGCAACTGACATGTCAAAGCAGGTGACAGAATATTCTCAAAATTAAAAAAAAAAAAAAGGCAGTCTAAAGAGAGCAGTCTTGAGATGTGCTACCTCCTACACCCAATATTAGTGAGAAAAGCCTCAAAGAGGTTACAGAGCAGGGTTTTGGAGAAGGTTTCCTTGGGGAGAGCTACAGGAACAAGCGTCCTTGCCTTTAAGAGAAAGGATGGATGCTTGTCACTCACCTAAAGCCAGAGGAAAAGGCTTTGATGGGACCACTTGAAGATCTTGGTATGTGTCTCAAGCACTTAGAAGAGCATACTGAAGTGGCATCTGATTCATTCTTGGAAAATCAAAAGGATGAGAAACTGGATGAAGAGGTATGTGAGACTGAATGAGAGATGCTGAATTGAGACCACTATCAGAGTCTGTCTGGACATAGAATGAATGCTCCCTATGGACCAAGATGGGCCCTATGGGAAAGAAACAGAGTAAGCTGGGGTGGGGTCATCTGGTTCTATCCAAGAGGGTTACCTGAAGCTTGAACAGACCTTGGCAAAATAAACATGAAGGTCCTGCCAGATCTAAGAGGCTGAGGAAGGAGTAAGCAACCAGCCAGAATACACATGCATTCTCACTGTCAAGCAACCTGAGCTGAGGAATCCTGAGCAATGGAGGTAGGAGGTGGAAGATGCAGGAGTGAAAGAATGAGCTTTAAATGTGTGCCAAGTCTACAACAGCACTGAAGCTAGATTACCATGAACTATTCAAATAAATTTTACTGCTAGTCTTTCCCCTCTTCCCTTCTTCTTTGCCCAGTGGGGGAGGGGAGGGTGTTAAACTAGGACTGGCAAGACAAAGCAAGAAGAATAGAAAAGCCGAGTCAGAAGAAAAAAGTCAATGATGTCCCCCTTCCCCGATTATTGGCTGGGAATGGGCATGGGGGAGAAGCTTCATCCTTAATTTAGGTTTGGTTTAGGGTTTTTATTTGTTGGCACTGTACATTTTATTTTTATTTTTTTAAAGATTTTTTTATTTTTAAGTAATCTCTACACCCAACATGGGGCTCGAACTCACAACACCAAGATCAAGAGTCACATGCTCTTCTAAAAGAGCCAGCCAGGTGCCTGGACATTTTAATAATCAAATTGAGACTTCTGCAATTTAGTTACTGAAGGACAATTTATATTTTCTAAAAGCAACCAGAGAAGCCAAGTTTATCTATGGGCAGAGGATGAGCCAGCCTCACAGAGTAAACTGAAAGGGACAGTGAGTAACACAAAAAAAGCTGTTTTATAATTGCTTTCCACAATTCTTGCTTTTCACCCTAATGCACTAAAGAGGCAACACAGTGGAGAGTAGAGAAGTACACAAATGTGATCCTACTAAACGTAACTCAGCCCATCCAGCTTCTCTGCCTATCCTGAGATGGTTCAGCCATTAACAGTCCCAGAAATTTGCCATTACATGACTCAAAAATCTAACAGTAATTCTTAAAATTTACTAAGAGTAGCCTAAATATAATAGATTCACTTTAAAGGCAGAGACTGTGTCCTGCTCCCTACTGTATCTCTAACACTTAGCAAAGCATCCCTTACATAAAAAGGTACTTTAAAAACTACTGTTCTCCTAAGAGATGGCTATGTTAGGTTCTAAGGAAACAGAATCTGAACAAATATGTCTGCAGCTGAATGGCTTTTTAGTTAAACATCTATTGAGTCTTACTATGTACAAAATTGTAATACAGATTACTTTCATCTTTATCCTTTCATAGCCAGCCAAGTATCTGGAAAATGCATGTATTTTCAATACTGTACTATAACAATGCAGGATACATGTGAAAAATTTAAACTTTGCTATTCAAATAGAACAATTACCGTATATATTTTTAAAGAGTTTCATAGAAAACTCTCAAAAGACATACAATAACAATGCTATTAAATGCAGACTAGTTTAAGAAGAGAGGAACATTTAAAAAAATATATTATCCAGTATTTCACTAATACTTTGTTGGCACAGATTCTCTCTTTTCAGTGACAGCCTGAATTAAGAGCCTACTATCTTAGTTGTAGTATCATCACCCCTCTTTTAAAGATTAGGAAACGGAGGCTCAGAATTTAGTGACTTGCCCAAGGTCGTATTACTAGTAAGCAGTAGGAGTTTTAAATCAAGACAGTCAGATTCCCAAGCCATGCTAACTATAATGCTGAAGAGTTGAGTATTACTGACTCATTACCAAAAGAAATAAAATCCTATTTTAATGATTATGTTTAATTTTGAAATATAAGCTAAGCTTCCAACCTACCTCTACTGATGTGAATTCATTAATAAACGCTTGATGAATGAAAATTCTATATAGTAGATACCAGTAAAGTTTCTAACAGTTGAAATATTATTCATGATATCATTTTTATGGTATAGTATTTACATGAAGTATATGTGACTGTAAAATTTGACAGTTTCCAAAATGATACATAAGGGAAGCATGTCTTATTGTATGTTTCAGAAACTAAAGGGTGTTGGCTGCAACAGAGTCCTATTATCTGATTATTTCATTCTCACATCTTATCTTAGTAATAAATGCAAGAGAAACCCTAGATATTCCAGTATAAGTCAGTGCTTCTCAACATGGGACGAGTCCTCACACCTCCCAGGGAACATATGGCAATGTCTAGAGACATGTTTATTGTCATGATGGTGTGTCATGCAGGTGTGGGGTGCCACTGGAATCTACTAGGTAGCACCAGGAATCCAGGAATGCTGTTAAACATTCTATAATGCAAAGGACAGCCCTGCCTGCTTCCAAGGAATTAGCCAAATCAAAACGCTCAAGTGCTAGGGCTGAGAAACTCTAGTATAAGGGATTAAATGTCCGAGGCACTTAGCAGAGGAGGTGGCATGAGTGTTTAGAGATTGTAACTATAAACACTAAATCAGAGAGTCCAGATAGCACTCAAGCCTTGACGAGCACTGGTATGGGGGCAGCTTCCTGCCTCATTAGATTTAAAGTGGGTAAACAGAACGTGATAGCAGCTTCTATCAATACTCTCACCTTTAACAGTTGTGAATTATTTTTCTGATAAAAGAACAGATAATTGAAAAAGCATAAGTAAAAAGAAAAGCAGCTTACTGGAGAGATGAGAAACCTCATTAAACTGCACAGAGTTCCACTACCAACTTACTGAGTGTTTCTATTACTTACAGTAGGAACCTAGAGGGTTATAATCTAAAATCAGAACAATGGGTGTTGTGGACACACCATAAGAAAGTCAGAATAGGGCGCCTGGGTGGCTCAGTCGTTAAGCGTCTGTCTTCGGCTCAGGTCATGATCCCAGGGTCCTGGGATCGAGCCCCGCATCGGGCTCCCCACTCCGCGGGAAGCCTGCTTCTCCCTCTCCCACTCCCCCTGCTTGTGTTCCTGCTCTAGCTATCTCTCTGTCAAATAAATAAATAAAATCTTAAAAAAAAAAAAAAGAAAGAATACATAAACATCCATGTGCTTCATTCTGAACATCATTATTCTGAAGAACAAACATGATTTCAGGAAACCTGGCTTTGAGCTCCCAAATGTATAAATGCCCTGATGATATACTATTGTTTCTTCTTGGGCCTTCCTTTCTCTGAATATGGGGACTGTCAGAAGAGGAAACAGTAAAAACCGGGCACAGAGCAAACTCTGAGACAGCACGGACCTAAAACAAAAATCAGAAAACAAAATTTCCCCCAGTGTTGCCTTGCTCTGCATGGCTGAGTTTTAACTCTTAGGTGCTTGCTCCTTTTCCTTTACTTTTCTGTTGGAGCCCTCACTCTTCAGTCCTTTCATGTTACTTCTCTTTCTACCGTCAATCATATTTTTTCACCTAAATCTTCTTTTTACCCTCTTTTGATCCCCATTTTCACTCCCAGTTCCTTTTTTCCAGCTCTGTTTTACTTTACCCTCTCAATAGTGTCAACTAGTACTGGAATTATATAATGGGAATTTTGGAGTTGAAAAGAGTCAGACTTCAGGGCTTACCTATTAGTAAACGCCCAGGATGCCCACCTCTCTTCATCATACCCACGCCACTAACAAGTGGTTAGCTGACTCAGCTTAAACACATTAAGATCACCTCTATTAACTTTCACACACCAGGAATCACCTGTTCGCAATTAAGGGGTATTGAAAGACTGCTGGTGAGATGTAAACAGAGCAACAGAATCAATCGATCTGAATTGCTCTTGCTTCACAGATACCAACTACTTATCATCAACATTAACTAGAAAAAAGCTCACCATCCTAAACTACAGTTGACCAAATCTGCAGGCTTAAGCTCTTTGAAAATTTATCTTTTGATAGACTGAAACATCTATGTGCAGACATATGATTCATCTAAGAAGGCTTGTTTGACATTTTGTCAGAATAAGGAATGACTCATTAAATCCCCCAAACGGCACGCAAAGTATGTTTTACCCTCCTACATTGCTCAGGTTTATTCTCCCCTTAAGTACATAAACAATAGAAGATACTGATTAATTGAGAAGATTCCGGGTCATGTTAGGTAAATACGGTACTGTACTTCATACAGTAGTGTAAAGGCTCGTGGAGTCTGGGCAGATGCATGAACCCAAAACTAAAGTGATTTATTATCGTGCAATAAAAGAAGTAGATCCTAATTTGTTCTGTGCTGGCTTGCCCCTAAAGGGCAGCGGGGTGCAAGTCTCATAAACCCGGCCGTGCCATTGAGTTGTCTAGTTTAAATGAACATCTCCAGCGTTCCACAAGTTTGAACGGTTCCTGGAGCTTAGTCTCGGCTGTTGCTTCCCCAGAGAAGCCCCCTTCAACTGCCCCGGGCGGAGAGCGCGCAGCCTCCCAGCCCCGCCGCTGCGCGGCCCGCACGGGGTCCCCGCCGTGCCGACCCCGCCGCCGCGCCCTTACCTTAGTGAGCTGGGCGATTTTCTTGCTCATTTTCAGGTGCAGGTCCTGGCTATAGTCCATGCTGTGCCCCGCCTGCTGCGCGGCGGCCGGCGAGGGCGCGAATTTGGCCGCTCCGGCCGCCGAGCCGCCGTAATAGTGCGGCTGCCAGCTCATGCCCGGGGTCGCCATCTTCCCGACAGACCCCGGCCGGGGCACCTGTCCTCGCGCTCTGGGGGCGGCCCGCGGAGCAACGGCGTCTGGGAGGCAAAACCCGGGGCGGCCGCTTCCGGACCCGATCCCCGGTGTGTGTCAGGTGCGGCCGCAGGCGCCCTCCGGTCCACGACCCTCCAGTCACCCCCGTCCAGGGACGGGGCAGCCCCGCCGGATCGAGGCCGCAGGCGACACCCACGCGGGACAGACGCCAAGGGTCCAGCAGCACGGTCCCGGGCCCGGCCCGCTCTCTCCCGCTCTTCAGCTGACGTCTGGCGGAGGCGTCGTGGGCAGCGTGGCCCCGCGGGTCCTGCTCCCACCCGGCACCAGGGACCTAGCGAGACGGCCGCCGCCGGGGCTGCGGAGGGAGGAGGAGACGGGGCGGGCTGGTGCGGGGAGAGGCGGGGACATGGAGGAGGACTCGGTAGCCGCGGAGCTGCCGTTACCAGGGCGCGCGGCCCGCCGAGCTCGCGGGGACGGCGACGTCATTTCTCCGCAGCCAAGCCCCGCCCCGCGCCGCCGCCGCCAACCCCGCATTCTCGCCGGTCACAGGCGCTTCGGGAGGGCCTGCCTGGACCTCGCCGCCAGGTGCTTCCCCCTGCGGTGGGGATCCCCAAACCCCCACCTGGGCGGTGAGCCCCGTGTGCCGCGCGTGCTGTTCTACGTAAAAAAAAAAAAATCAGCGAAAGAGAACGGGGCTATCTGTGGTCTTTTCGGTTTGCAGAACGCGTGCCGAATTACTGAGTCTTTACACGCGCAACGTCGCGTGCACTGGGGCCAAGTGGCTCTTCCCCAAGAAGGGCGTCAAGCTCACATCCAATTCCCTCCCAAGGCCGGCCTCAGCACCTCGGACATGGTAATGAAATAGCCCGGAATACAATAATCCCTGCCTGGACCCTTTCAAACTCATACAGATATGATGGTCACAATGTACTAGGCCGATCACTGTCCTAAATTCAACGCCAGTATCTGTGTGTGGAGAGAGTACAACTCATCAATTAGTGTGGCACTACACTCCTACTTTTTCCCAGTCTTAATGGAGACCGAGACAATTATATATGAAATCTCGTTGGCTGGAAGTAAAGGGGAAAAACAGAAGATGTAACAAGATGCCAGCTCCTTAAGGATTTGGGGACTGGGCCAAAGTGTGTCATTACTTGTGCATTTTCACCTTTCTAAATGTGTTATTTCTTACTGATTGTCTCCTAACATCTCTACTCCTGTAGGTCAAATGATTTTTTTTTAAGTGTATCCTGTGTTGAAGTAAATCAGTTGTTTTAGGACAATCTTAACACAAACTTTAAAAATGTAGAATTGTACCTATTTTAAAAACTCTTTTATCCAGGCAGTTTTGCAGAACTGAATTCCCCCATGTTATAGTATGTGATTTCTCTTCAGCATGCAACTAACAATCATAAAATCTGACATTATTAACAAATCCAATTGGCAGCCAAATTATCATAAAGTGTCTGATACAAAATCTAAACCAACAAGGTGAAGATTGAATAGCATCATGAAATACTTCCAGAATTGTTGGAATTCCAGAAAGGAAGACTGAAATTGGCTACATCTTTTCCCAGATGCTAGGTACTCAGTCCCCTTCCCCCCCCCCATTCCTCCATCCCCAATAGACCTCCCAGAAAATAAGTTGTCTAGTTCCAAGGTTCTGAATGGAGCAGATGGCCAGAAACAAATATGCAAATTTTGCTCTGTTCTTAAGCTCTAATAATTCAATGAAATTAAAGAGAATTAGGAGTTAGTGTTATTCCATCAAATTCTAGGCATAGAAGATTCACAATCATTTTAGAATTCTTAGATCCTTTACATTCTAGGTGGAAACGTATGCTCTAAAGACTCCCCGTTTCCTTAAATTTTTATAACTAAGTCTTGCTAGGGCAACGAAGGTGTTTCTGGTTTTGTCTCTATGATATAGTGGAAAGAGCATAATACTGGAAATAAGGAGACCAATGTATAGCCTCAGCTGAGTCACTGAGGCTATTTGCCCCTCAAATGTGTCCTCTGAAATGAGACAATATTTACCAGTCTCTTCCCACTCTAACTTGGCAGTTAGAGATTGAGGCCCTGGTTTACACTGAACCCTATCACATGAGTTCCTGCCATCACTATACAGCATAACCTGAGAGGACCATTTTCCTCAACATGCTCACAAGACACCCAGTGTCATTCCATGAATTTAATATTTTTTGCCCTACCACAAAAGGATAACACAGGTCATCTGGTGTAGAGTTCTATTCAATTATAAATAATAAATGGAAACATAACAATATAATACACCCATAATCCTATTACCTAGAATCTCACTTTTTAAAAATCCAGTAGAGGAGGTGTGCAATATGAGAGTAACAGGAAAAGATAGTTAGGCAAGATATCTTTATTTAGCACCTGTTTCTCTCACAAGATGGTTTATGCAAAAATATTTATCAAATGCCTATTGTGTGCCAGGTGCTGCATTAGGTGCTGAGGCTGCAGTAATGACTAAGGATCAGTCTCTGTTCTCAAAAAGTTAGTAATCTAGTGGAAAAGACCTGCAAAGAATAAGGTGCAATGCAATGTGGTGTTAAAGGAAGAGGGACACTTAACCTCGCTTGAGGTGTCAGAGAAGACTTCACACACACACACACACATACACACACAAAGGCAATAATTGAACAGATTTCTGAAGGATGAGTTTTTCGGACAAAAAGGGGTGGTAGGAAAGTGGACTACAAGCTCTGAGGATAGCAAGGGCAAAGCCCTGAAGATGAGAGATAACATAATCTACTTAGGGAACAGCAAGAGGTACAATATGGCTGGAGCAAAGAGTTTGACGGGATGTCAAAATATGAGATAAAGCAGGTATCAAGATTATTCGTGGGGGGAGGGCTTATTTGCCTTGATAAGGAGTTGGGTCTTTATCTTGAAAGTAATAATGAGCCACTGAAGAGCTTTATGCAGGAGAATGAAATAATCAGATTTGCACTTTAGTAACAATTCTTGTGACTATGGAAAATGGATTTCAGAGGCAACTTTATAGGCAAGGAGAATAGTTATGAGGCTATTGCACTTATTGAAGTGAGAGAGGATAAAACATTGACTTAAACTATAGCAGTGAGAATAAAAAGAAATGGATGTATTTGAAACATCCATAAGGTAAAACAGACAGGACTTTGAGGGGCAAATAGCCTCAGCCTTGACCAGTGGTCAAGGGTGCCCCCTGAGATGGGCTAGAGGAGGGACAGGTGGGAAAAGTAATAAGTTCAGAGTAGAACATGTTACCTTTGAGGTGCCTGTGGGACATCCAAATGGAGATGTTCAGGTGCAGTGCAATATAGAACAGGAGAGGTAATATAGTAATTAAATTTGAATATAACAGGAGAAAGTAAATATTGCTTACAAGAGACCGGAAGCTATTGGTATATGAAAAGAAACATCTGTCTAGGCAGGTTGTCATCTATGACATCCTAGAACTTCTCTATGAAGAGGAGTCATAACCCATGGATGGTCATAACCCATGGCCAAAGGGAACAATACCGGAGACATGGGCTTATAGTAAAGCAGGAGTAGAGGTTGGTGCAGGGGAACAGTCACTGAAAGCAGGTAGAAGAATAAGCTGGAAGTAAGAATTATTGCCTATAAGAGCTGAAAGAGAACTTCAAATCCAAATCCATTATTTTATACATATTGAATATCAGAAAGTTTGAGTTGCACAGATTTTCAAAACCAGTTAGTAATAGAGCTAGAATTATGACCTAGATATTTTAAACGCCAGTTCTATCCAGTTTACTAAACAATAGTTTAAAGCTATTTATAGGAGAATCTCTTCTGATATTCTTTGACTAGAAATCTCTTATTCTAAAACTTCCATGCACTGATATTTCAATTATGATTTATACTTGGAATGGTGTCTCCCAGACTCTCAAATTCCCTACACACTCTCTGAATTGTTAGAGGTGTTTTGGGGAGGGAAGAATAAAGTGGTAGTGGTGGCAATAAAGGCCGGTTAATAATAAAGCTAATGAAGCTTCCATGACTCCTTCCAGAAGGGGTCCTAACTAGTGATAACATGGTTACAAGATTTAGTAAAAAATTAGGAAAATCACTTCTGTGTATTTTTCTCTCAAGTCTCCCAAATTGTATATACTTCAGACTCTAGAAAACCTAGGTTAACCCAACCAGCAGTATCTGAAGTTAAGAATTAATATTAGCATTAAAATGTAAGCTTATAAGTTAGTAGACCAAGGGCATCTAGGTGGCTCAGTCGGTTAAGCGTCTGCCTTCAGCTCAGGTCATGATCCCAGGATCCTAGGATCAAGACCCACATTGGGCTCCATGCTCAGCAAGGAGCCTGCTTCTCCTTCTCCCTCTGCTGCTCCCCCTGCTTGTGCTCTCTCTCTCTGTGTCAAATAAATGAATAAAATCTTTAAAAAAAAAAGTTAGTAGACCAAAGCACAGGCAACAAAAGAAAAAAATAGCTACATTGGACTTCATCAAAATTTAAAAATTTTGTGCATCAAAGGACATTATCAACAGAGTAAAAAAGGATCCCACAGAATGGGAGAAGATATTTGCAAATTATATATCGGATAAGGGAATAATAATAAGAATTTTTCTAAAAACTCCTATAACTCAATAACAACAACAAAACAATCAGATTTAAAAATAGGCACAGGCTTAGTCAATGAAGCATGCAACTCTTGATCTGGGGTCGTAAGTTCGAGTCCCACGTTGGGTGTGGAGATTACTTTTAAAAAATGGGCAAAAGACTTAAATACACATATATTTCTCCAAAGAACATATACAAATGGCCAATAAACACAAGAAACGATGCTGAAGATCACTAATAATTAGGGAAATGAGAATCAAAATCAAAATCAAAATGAAATACTACTACACACCCATTAGAATGACAGTTGTAAAAACAAAACAGAAAATAAGTTTTATGAAGAGAAACTGGACCCCTTGTACATTGATGGTAGGAATTAAAAATGGTACAGCTGCTGTGTTAAACTGTATGGCAGTTCCTCAAAAAATTAAACATAGCATTACCATATGATCTAGCAATTCCACTTCTGGGTATGTACCCAAAAGAATTACAAGCAAAGAGTCAAAGAGAAATTTGTACACCAGTATTCATAGGAGCATTATTAACTTAGCCAAAATGTGGAAGCCCAAGTGTCCATCAGCAAAAGAATGGATAAACAATATGTTATATATATAATGGCTTATTATTCAGCTTTAAAAAGGAAGGAAATTCAGACATATGCTACAGTATGGACAAACCTTGAAGCTATTATGCTAAATGAAATAAACCAGTCACAAAAGGACAAAAGGACAAATACTGTATGATTCC